CATATATATATAAAGCTTAAATATCCCCATGATTTGAAAATAAACACAGGGACGAACACTAATGTTTTCGGTATCTCGTCATCAGGTCAGTACATATCTAATGGTTAAAATCGAAGCGGAAATTGAAATACGCAGCAAAGATTGGTCAGTGAAATGTAAAACTTGGAGACATGCACGATTTGTTGTCTGCGCCCCCAATGTTGCACTTAGTTGGGTGCTGTGAGGCAGTCTAGGGAGCCGTTGAGTGACTTGGCCAGTTGATACGTGTCACACGACCAAGGCAGACTCAGCGTTCGTACGAAACGTTTTCGACAGCTCAGTACCGGGCTTCGCAGGCGTATGGCGACTGCCCCGGCTGTAGTCAGGCAACGCCGTTGGATAGATACTGGCAGCCTATTTGGTACACGGTAAACGACATAAAATGACTCATTTGGAATGACTACGTGCCCGATGTCAATTAGATGGGACGCAATCGACCTCCTGGCTGAAATGTTGAGGTTAATGTTATTCTGGTAAGAGAGGTGCTCATATATATATATATATATATATATCCATTTGATGATTAGCCTTGCGGAACACTCCCACACACATGGCAGAACGCTTTTGCTCCACATGCCAGCCCGCACCAACGCTCTGAGGCCGTTTAGCCATGGCGCACTCGTCACGAGTATCGAAAATTCTAGTNATATATATATACATCAGTAATCTGAGTAGTCTGTGTTGAAGGCATGGCGGCTGAGCGAATAAGACGAACAAAACAAGCTTATATGGTGTGGTTAGTTCCGATCGTTCGTCAGACTACATTAGCCTGTGCCGTGTCGTTATGTAGTACGCGCCTGGATCGATGAAAAAAGGCAGTCTGGAGCTTGTGAAGTGCGCTCACAGACTATAACCAGCTTATATATACCAGAGTTGACGTGTCACAAGTGTGGATGTCGTAGTGTGAAATTAACGCGACCTTTGCACAAAGGACACCGTTAACTCAAAAAGCTTTCTGGCGCTATTGGTTATTTTCACTTGGCATCAGAGTAACCGGTGCTTTGTCAGGAGTGCGATTATATTAGCAGCAATGTTTAGGTTGATTCAGTTCATCTGAGGATTAGAGGAGCTGAGCATGCTCTAGTGAGCAAGTCTTTAGTCAGTGCTCCGATGCTGCCAAAGCCATGGGTGATCTTTATTCCTCTGGATGCGTCATAATACCGTTAAAAGGATGAAACGCTGGGTAATGTGAGGATAAATTCAGTTGGCAGTCAAAGTTCGCTTTCTGGGAAATGGCTTAATATAGTTTAAAATTGGCTTGAAAATTTAGCAGTCATATGCGGAGCAACTTGAAACTGCAATGGTGAGAAATCGTTATAATAACTAGTCGAACTGCTGTTTGATTAATGAAACCGTGAGATAGCTTCATGATCGCTTGACAAACTAGCATTAGATTCATGAACCAGCCGGGTTAAACCAGTAATAAACAAACCACATTGTTTTTCTGATTGGTTCACTACCAACTACAACCATGTTTAGAAGTTACATTAGTTTTTCTAATACAGGTTAAACCGCACAAACAAAAAGCCTGTTTAATCGAAATAATCAATAAACCGGTTTGAATGCTTAGAGAGTTCCCAACTATTTTATCGTTCTACGTGTTTGGTGTCCGCCAAAAGAGGTAACTAGTACGGGCTCTAGAAATCCGGTACGAGCAATTCGTAAACAATGATTTGTCATTAGTCGAGCAGTCATTGTCGACTACTGCTACATTATGTTATTTTGCGCTTGTTTCCGGTCACAACAATATAGTTTTAATGGGTTTGCCGAAAACGCAAGAAAGCGAAACTATGAAATTTTGCTGTAATTGTGAAGTATCGGAAAGCAACAGATACACCCATGCGAATAATACAGCAAAAAGACAAAAGGTTAGATATTGTCGATAATCACTTAGAACTTTTTTTAACCGTAGTGCTAAAAATGACTAGTTTTAATCCGTTAACAGGAAATATATTGAAGGATGTGCAGGACTTGACTGCAGGAGATGAAAAGAAAAAAGCTGTCGTCAAGAAAAGACTATGGGAATGTGGATATATCTGAAGCATGCAGATTAATTTTTTGAATCAAGGTTGAACTACGTCAGCGGTATTTTTGTCGTCGTGTTTTCCTGCTAATTATTTTGCTTTTCGTTTCCATTTTTAAGGCTTTGGGGGCATAAGTTCTGCAAACTCAAGTGTACTGTCAATCTGCGCGTCAGCTACGTTTATTATCACTAGCTTCATTCATTTGAGTAGTATTAATCTATGGCCTGACTCAATTTTGGCCATCGTCAGGTATGACCCTTTTTTACCACCTTAAAATCTTCACTGCTGGGAAACCTAGATGGCTACGATAGAATATTTAGGAAATAAAAGCTTATAAATATTGCAAACAAACTATAAATGAAATAAGACAAACTATCACAGTTGTGAGATCCGGTGAACCACGCATTTCTTTGTTCACTAGGATGAACACTATGGTCCCTGTTGCAAATGAGCTTGTGCATAGTGTGGATGTAGTCCCCTACCCTGCATGAGTTGTATTACCTGGCTCGAATTTCATTGAATTGCGTCTAGTCCATTCGATGATAACTTCATCAACCTATGTGCAAAAGCCATGTCTGTTTGGTTGTGTATTGGACGCTGTCCGTTTTGAGTTTTTCCATTGACATGGGAGACGTCTACGCATATGGATGAGTATAAATTGTCCACTAACTTGAGTAGGTTTGATAGCATCAGACTTCCGGGACTTCACTTACGTCTCTAAAAAATTCATTACTTTTGGATAGAGTTTCAACTTTTGCACGATTCCCATTTATGCACGCTCATTATTTTTGCAGGACAGTGGACGATATGGGGATATTTTCATGCGTCAGATTGAGCCTATAGCCTCACGCGTTCCCTACATGACAGCGGTTGGCAACCATGAACTGGCTTAGTAGGTTTACACAAGTTTTACCAGATGAACCTTGTCGGATAAACCACTAGTTCTTTTCTGTCACAAAATTATTTTTTGGGAAACCACTTGATTTCGGAAACAGTTTATCATACTGTATTTTACACACGCACCACATCGGGTGCAGCGAACAAGTGCACTGTAAATACTGCAATAAAAAACTGAAACGGATGTGGAACTGTCAGTTCTGCCTGTTGCCATATTTTTACAGTCATTTATGAACCGATTATTTCAAACTTTCAGGGGGCATTTCATTGTCATGCTGAATACAGAGTGATCTTGTCATTTTATTGGAAATCATAACACAATGAGAGGAAAATGTCTTTCAAGGAACCGGAGACCAGCGGAGATCCCACAGCAGTTGAGTCAGGGAGATAGGACACATACTACCTCATTAATGAGTACCCCGTTCGAACGAAGGAAATGTGTATAGGTTTATTCTTGATATAGCACTACTCACGAATTTGCTGAAAACCCCTTGACTACTCAGTCCTGGTTTCTCACAACTTGGGTCTTATCAAGGCAGACATATTCACCGAATTTCTTAAGTTGTGTTGCCTAAAGAATTGTCAAATTACACGCATTTTAGTAGTAATTTGTCGAAGCTTTATCAGTAACCTTATTCGTGGTGCTCAAAGTCAAGAATGTGTGCTTCGATGTCTCGAATATCGTGCCGGCTGAACTATAAGGCGGTCTTAGTGCAGTATATCCGATTAAATAACATGATGAAACCGACATTCAGTCGAGATTCATTTAGTTCTTCCCTTTCCCTTAATTCTGAATGATTATTTTTTTGACACACGTGTTCAGTTCAAGATTCAAGTGGGAAAGAATGCCGATCTTAACTTGAAGACGACTCTCATCAGTTGAGATTCAAGAAGGGTGGAATTGGTGGGAGACCGCCAAAGGTTTTAGCAGCATCATGAGCAGTGTCATTTCAGGCTAAAAGCAGACAAACCAAGGCCTTTTAAACTTTATGCTTGTTACCGGGACTCTTACCTTCCCTTGCCGAAGGCGGAAATGTTCACGGTTTCACTGAACGTGGCTTACCCATAATATTTGCAGAGTTGTAAAGTGAATCGGAAATATATCTAACTATCCTGCTTAGAATACTGTAAATAGACGATAAAAAGATCACAAAATAGAGTGCATTTTGTTGCTTCTAAAACTTGAAAGAACTTTTCGGCTGGATATAAGCTGGAGCAGGTTGTACGACCAGCTTGTGCGTTGCACTACATTTCATCTTTTTCTTTTCTTTGTATCCCTTGAAATAGAATTAGTTCATTTAGAATAGAAACAATGCGAAAAGTGATTGGTTCGGAAAAGCTCCTGTTTGTTTTGAGGCCTATCTCTGAGTTTATCGCATGAAGCTGACTCATGCTGCTTGATCAGCTGTTTTGACTTCAGATCTCTTACTTTTTGCAGCAATTTTTCGCACTACAAGTCTCGATTCAGCATGCCAGGTGGGGATGGTGAGTCACTCTTCTACAGGTGAGTTATTGGTTTCAGTTCAACCTCAATTTTATGAGTTTTACAACGTAATACGAGAAAATCAGTTTTACAACCATCTAAGTGCTAGAACATTTTACTCCAAGTTGATCGGAGTAAGAGGAACTTTTTCACACGAACTAATCAAGAATCAGGGGTAGTCCTTCGCAATAGTATAGATTCATGAAGCACAACCAACAAGAAAACTGAGGTGAATTTCAGGATGATCTACTATGTGCATGCTATACAGGATTTTACTTAAGCTTGGGCCTGAAAAGTTGTTCTGCACAAAGAACCATTGAGGTGCATGCCAGTGGAAAGGTAGCAGATAGAATTCTCGAATTAGCTAGGTCAGGCGACGTAGGCCAGCTGTTGTAGGCTATATGTACATTGGTTTATCAAAGAGCTTTCAGTAAATTCACGGTGGTGGTATCACAAAATCTACTCTACGCAGCGATTAGAACGGACATTTTCGTGAAGCTTTTTTTCAGTGCAATTTATTATTATGTTGCGTATTCTCTATCTTTAGTTTAAAGAACATAACAAAATTTGCAAAATACACTCATTTGTAACCAAATTTGGTTGTGTGAAAATGCAGCTGAATCTCTCGTTTGTGGTGTTTCCAGGCAACTGAATGTTCTGCTCCAAGCCGTCCCAGGTTTCACTTGCTACGAAATACGAGATATCGCGATACGTGTATATTCGTAATGCGCCACTCATAAGGTTGTTAAAATTTATTCGACAACCCACGACCGGTTTCGCTAATTTCGTGCAATTTAGTTTCAAGTAGGACATAAGGTTGACGGGGACTCTGGGACTGCGCCTACCTGATAAGTTCCAAGAAGTGCGAAACCGGTCGTAGGCTGCTGAAGGATTTTCAGCATCCTTACGAATGGTGTAAGACAAAGTTTGCTTTTAGTTTTAGTACAGGCGAGTCGAAAGAATAAAAAAATACAACTTCAGCTGATTTGGCATTCCGTTTTATGCTGATATCTGTGCGGTAGTTTGGAAGGTTAGCAAAATGGTAAATTATCCAGCTCTATTCAGCGTGCGAAGTTCATGAAAAGAGGGCGCTGTCAACTCCCAAAAAGGAGTTTATACTGAAAAGCGAGAAAACACTCTATAACTTTTTCACCTTTACTGAAAACTGTCAGCAGTGCGTGTCTCACAAAATTTACCCCTTTGAGTAACCACACCGGAAAACTGTCAATTTTAATCTACTGGCAGGCAACTTGAGGTCAGAATGGTGGATAACCATTCATTTTTGTCGCGTACTTTTCTGAGTTTTTCTGTCAAAGGTGCATTGTGTTCCAGAGTTTGGTGAGTATGTGTAGTATTCTGCTCCTGGGATTGGAAGTATAAAAATTGTACTTGAAAACGGGGTAACTAGTTATTTCGTGAAGGACACTGTTCTAAATTCTGTGGTTTTATAATGAGACAAATTTCGACGGAGAACCGTATATGCGCAACACTTTTTTACGCCCACATGATGCGTAAATTTTCTACTTGGTATTGAAGTTCCACGTGTGTCAGGGTCACAATTTGTATGTAGTATTGACCACGATCCGACGGACACGTTCAAATTAGCAAACTTACATAGGGACATGAATGAACAGTCCTTTTGAAACCTGTAAGCAGAAAACTTTCCTATTCAAACAGGAATTGGGCAGAATGACTATCTCAGGACCTACCATCCGTCAGATTATGCCTAGCCACTGGCATCTGTACTAGTCGCTAAAATGTCCTTGCTGTTGCAAACAAGCATGAAAAATGGAAGTTTAAATTTACTCATTCCTAAATTATCTCATCAAAGCTAGATATAATGCACCGGATAGAATCAAGGTGAGCACCTGACTTGGTGACTTGGCGACTTTATTATCCTAGCAAGATAGTTCCAGTTTGTCTCGAAAACGACTAACGACAAAGCGAAGTTACAAAATGCCTGCCAGGTATGATGTAGTGTGCGACTTAAGTGACCGGTTCGGTGATAGACAAGTTGTGGAACTGGAGAAACTGCTGACACTGCCTATTTGCACACCACTAATGTTTGTACAGTAAAATAACCTGCGACCTCGGAGTGCAACCACTATGCTAGATAGTAAGCATAAAGATCAAGGTGTATTTCAGTATCTGTTTACCCACGATTATCGGTTGCTGGAACAAATCATACTAGCGACAGTGTGATAAACATTTTAATTATTGCTAAAACATTTTTACAATAAACTTTATACGTTTTTGTATATTTTTTAAATGGAAAATTCCAGAGTAACTATGTTCGGCGGCGATAGTACCTACTCTCATCAAGTTTCTAGTAATTCTTGCAAGTGTGCCAACTCACTTCCGGAGGAGCCTAAATGACAACTTGGACAGTCTTAATGGAAAGACTTGTCTGGCTGTAGTGCAAATTCTACTCATTTGTCATCACATTCACTGTTGCTGTTTGTCACGTTTTATTCTTTTCAGCTTCGACATTGGTCCGGCCCATGTAATTGCGTTCTCGAGCGAACTTTATTATTATTTGTACTACGGATGGAGACAAGTCGTTCGACAATACGAGTGGATCAAGAAAGACTTGGAGGTAGGTTTGTGTAGCGACCTGCAGCCCTGACACCCGATACGAATTCCCATCTCCTACATGGTTGAAGTGTGATAAATTCAACAATTCAGCTGAGCAGACAGCTCGTTAGTCAAATAGAGAAAACCCTAGGAAACGCGAGTGAAACGCCGTATTTTTAACAAAAAACGTTGGCTTTGATAGAAAAATAATCGGGAATGTTGTTTTTGGGTCTTCCGTTTTTTTCGACCACCAACAGAAAAATTCACCCATGGAAGGAAATATTCATTTGCGAGATAAAGTAGGGTTAACCGTGGACTCAAGTGAGTCTCTGTTCTATCATCTCATTCAAATGTAGAGGTACATTCGTGTCAAAGAAAATGCTTTGATATCGTCAATATTCTCCAAGGTAAAACAACTGGTGATTTTGTGCAGGGCATCAAAATTTTTCTCCAAAAATCCCATTCCCCTCAGGATCTTCTGGCTCACTTTTACTCTGTCTGACACCAGTTTATGTTCACAAAGTATGTTTTTTATTCAGGAGGCTAACAAACCTGAGAACCGAGAAGCACGTCCCTGGATTATCGCAATGGCTCACCGTCCCATGTACTGTAGCAATGCTGTGGATGCTATACACTGTGATACAGTGGACAATATTGTGCGAACTGGATATCCTTACTTAGATAGCAAAGGAAAGAGCTATCTCCTCGGGCTAGAGAAGCTGTTCTACAAAAACGGTGTGGACTTGATCATTGGTGCGCATGAACACTCCTATGAGCGCTTTTGGCCAGTGTACAATCGAAAGGTAATGTCACTCTTGGCGAAATACACTCATTTGCAAACAAATTTGGTTTTGCGAGAGACTCACCTGGAACTCAGCTGAATCTCTCGTTTGTAATGTTCTTAACTGGATGTGCTGAACCAGGCCACTTCACGTTTCACTTGTTACGATATTCGAGATATCACGATACATATATACTCGAAACGCACTACTTATAAGGTTGCTGAAAATCCTTCGACAGCCCACGACCGGTTTCAGTAATTTCGTGCAATTTGGTTTCTAGTAAAACGAATTTTCACTAATATCAGCCTCTTCAAACCGTCGAAGGTAAGAGGTATTGCGTCGCGTGGTTGGCCTGCACACGATGCTGTTCATAAGCGAACCAAAGTCCGTCACAACATACAGACCAATTAGTGAGTCTAGTCTTTGAAGTTAGTTCATTTGTTGGAAAAAATCAGTCCCAAGTGCCTCAGTACCACACCGTCAGTGTGTGTTGTGGTTGTGTACTGGAGTGCGATGGGACTTTGAATTTGACTTTTGAGCGTCAATTTGACTTCCTCAGTGCCGTAAAATTCAAAGAGGAGAACCATGCGGGCAAAAAATGCGGGAGAATCACTTCCATTTGACAGGCCTAACCGGGAACGAAAGAGGCCACCATCTGTGGAAATCGGGACAACCGACGCTTGTGGTTGTATATGTTGAATCTTTAGTTCTCGCTGTACCGTTCATTTCCTGATCACTGTCCTTGATGTGAGTTGAAATTATGCTGCTCCTATTAATTCGTGTGGCTGTGTTTCCGCAATCCTTGAACATTCATCTGCCGAGGTCTATAAAGCTATTGTTGACTTGATTTGAAACTTGGCGAAATTTGAATGCACACGAGCCCTAGTGAGATGCGCACTGCGATTTCTACTCGCATAAAGCGTTTAATCAAAACATCGTATCACGAAAATTGATGATCTAAGTCGCATCATAATAATTTGGCCATCATTTTTAAATTCTCTCTCAAGAAAGAAAATAAGTAGTTCATAGGATCATGTCTCTTGAATTAATGGTGCTTTTCGGATCCTGAGTCGGTCAAGGACATTAGTGCCCTACTTTTTGGTGGGATTCATCAGGTGCAAGAAAGGTGAAGGCTTGTATGTCCCTTCTGCGGTAAACTTAGTTGAAAACGTACGCCGGTTTCTAACAGCCGAGGTTTGATTGACTGTTATACGGGAAAATTTGGTACTGCCAAGCAAAATGTTTCGTCTGTTTACCCGTAGCCACTTCCTAATTGAATAAGTCAAAGACTATGTATTTCAGTAATCACGTCTTTTCATAGCTTATTTTTCATCGGCTTGTTTTCGGTTCCATAGCATTACGGCCCACTTAGCCTGGACTAGATCCGATCTCAGATATCTGGGACATAATGCACCTTCAATTTTTACGAGTACACAGATACCTCTGGCACGGCAAATGTGAGTTTTCATGAATTTAGTTTCAATCAAATGCATCAGTTTTGATGAACGCGTCGCAACGCGGCGAGAAGCTAGTCAGACCATCTTATTAAAGGTTCCGCTTTGTGGTAAACGGTATGATCTCATCTTTGTATCGCTGTCATCCCGATAACTAATACCGGCTAATGAAGTCCGTATTTAGATTAGTGAAAAACGCAAGTGAGGTAGTAAATCACAGAGTCAGATCTACGTCACCCAATCTAGTCAGTTGGTCCACAGTAGGTGAAGACAAAATCAGAAAATAATGCTTCGTAATCGTATGCATACTGACAATAAGAAGAACAATTTGAATATGCCGCTTCTATTTCAGGTGTGCAATGGTTCGCAGAATAACCCCTATGTGAATCCACACGCACCGGTTCACATTGTTACCGGGTCTGCTGGCAGCTATGAAGGAAAGGATCCATTTTCACCTATTCCTCATAAATGGTCGGCTTTCAGGAGACATGATTATGGATTCACTCGCCTAGATATTTACAATGGGACACACCTAAGGGTGCAGCAAATTTCTGCAGAACTGGTAAGCTTTGGGCTGTATTCAATAAGCTGTAATACTGTTCTGAAGAAAAGCATAGTCCATGAGGTAGTCTGATTAAACACAACACCGTTCCAAAATATTCCAGTCATTATTTTTGAGGAAGTAAATTTACACTGGTGTGGTAGTGCTCTCCTCTGTAAATTGCTTCGGAAAGTACGTCAAGTAATTCTGCCCCCTGTGAGATGAAGCCCATAGGCTCCGTGTTTCATTTCAAACAAATGCGATCCAACACCGACGTTCCGAACACCTCGCGTGCATACTTACTTCTTACTTTTCGCATCACTGATAATAGGAGGCACGATGAACAAAATGACCGGTGTATATTCAAGTAAGACTCAAACTCAAGTAGTTGCCTTCCTATGAACTAGATTAAACCCGAAAAGTTCCACTTAGGTACGGCATTTCAATATGTGGTTTATAAACTGGCTTAGGATTTATGAGTAAAGTATTTCTTCTCCAGACCGTGGGTGGATTTCGCTTGGTGAAACTGTCGGGTAAGGCCCATCGCTGTTCAATATCTTCGAAGAAAGCTCATAACATTAGAGGTTTATGGCTGGTTCTTAGTTGGTAAATATGATCAGCCCCAAGATATTTACTCCAACAGACTTTTCGACTTGGGTTTGTCACGTTTGTTTGGGTCCATATTTTGGCATGTGGACAGAATCGTTTCAGGATCACCGTTCACATACGTCTATAAAGGATAACCTCTAAAAATCTCCATGGGTACGAGACAACAAAAGTTGTCTAAATCAAACCCGATGGGCTACCGATGATCGGTACGATACGGCTCCTCATCCATGTACTAGGCTCTCGAAATTCAAAATCCTTGTCCGTATCCAATCCTGAAATCACAGATTTCCTTGAGCTCACTTACTCCTAACTCAATGTTCTACTTGGTTTCACGGTATTTTTTTGTGACCTTCTCAACGAACAGAATGTTTGCTATTAATTCTTGTGTTGGGTGACTTCAACTACTGTGCATTGGGCATAATAATTTACATAGTTACAGAAAGACTGTCTTTTCTTGTTGTTATCAAAAAATGGTCATTCGTTTCGATGGTACATGCACACTATATTTTTTTAAAATCACAGTGGACTGTGTAAACTTCAATCTGCTGCAGATCGGATTTAAATCTAGTCACATAAGTTTTATTCTTAACATACTGAATAAACCTACCAGGTTCACATGGGACAATCGACCATGTATACAGGTCACTTTTTCAAACTTTCATCTGCGTAAAATTTGTCTCATAAACTCGTGTTTGTCCATTTTATTGACTCGCACATATTCCTGGCAATTGCATTCGTGACATGGTTTGACTCATCCATACTGTGGCCTAGAGGCCCGAAGGAATTTACTGTCCTACCTATGAGCAGTGCATTACTAATTACTGACCTATCCTTCACTCTGACCTTGTAAGTGTCCAACGTGCGGTTCCTTCTCTGCCCGCATCAACTGCCTGGATTGCTTGAAAGCAGTTGTCCTTGTAGTGCCCCCCTCGGACACTTTTGAAGGTCGATTGAGAATAACAAAGATTTAATGGTTGCAATGAAAAATTTCAAATGGTCAAAGCGCAATCAAATGTGGCTGATCTCTCGTGAGTGTGGACGGAATAACAACTCCCACATAATTCAACACGAGTAGCGCTAAGCAGTCTTAGATTTAGAGTCGGTATCATGGACCATGCCCCCTCCTCTAATTGGGGTCAACAACACGCTCAGATCAACGTTGCCTTCGCCTGAAAGGCCAGGCACCGTTAGGAATGCTAGTCTGTTTCGGCAATTAGGAAGACCCCGAGGCTGAGTGAGGATGGGCTTACTGCTTTCTTCCTCGTTTGAAACGACTCTCCTCAAACCATTCGCCACTGTATTTTAAGAGAGGGCGCTCCGTGTTGGGATACAACTTGACAAAATGCAATTAAGCAAAATACGTAAGAGTATTCCTCCCTGTTCTGAGCCTTGGGCTTACAATTCATGCGGTGTTCTTTTGTTTGTTGGTCATTCCGTTCTACTTTCATGACAGAAGAACAATCCAATTTCAATTCAGATTCCGTTCCCTTCCGAAGCTATTGTCACCACCAGTGGCCGAACCATTAGTATCCGTGTTTTTTTAACAAGAGTCGCTTTATATGACCTTGTGGGTAATTCTCTGTGTATAGAATATGAATGGCTGACAGATTGAATTTTACCTACCACCTGGTGTTACTCCTAGGGACAAGGAATACCTAAGTAATACTGCCATCGGGCACTTCCCTCAGTTGGTTCCGCATCTATTGTTCATTTTCAATATGGTTTCGGTAGCAATAACACTATTAGCATTTTTGTCAGTAACCAAAAAGACATGTTATGCATACTGAGTTGTCATGTCTATGTACTAGCTGTTTCTCAGTTATTCAGATCTCCTTACCAAGCCCATGATTTAGCGGAAGGTCTACAACCCTTCAGCAGTTCTTGGTATTTTCAGAACAGGTTCCATATAAATTACTGAGTGGCTACACTGAAACTTAAAGCAGAAAAGTTGTGAGTAGTATGTATGGGTTGAAAGATATTCGATGTGTGTTCTCCCTGCCACTCATTCGCATAACCCATAGTATATCTTACGGTTTACGTTAGATGAAAAAAACATCGGGAAAAGTTTTTATACCACGCCATGGGAAAAAACCCTGGAATGTAATGGTTCAGACACCTTTTTACTGAGTGTAAAACCTGTCAGTTATTCACTTCGTTTTTGTGTGTGGAGGAATACCTCACTTTGGATCTCGTGAAGCTGTTGAGAAGTGCTGAATTGAAGCCAATTAGTAGTACAACGTTCTGTTTTTTTCTAGAGATGTTGACGCTTGGATCTGGTTTACAATATGGGTAGGATCGAAAAGAATCTAGAGTCTTGCCACTTCCCATGCTTACCGACATATTTAATTTTATTCGAATATGATGCGGACTTTTACGACTGATCGACTTTGAATACGATCAGTGAAACCTATACTGTTTGTATTTATGGTTTCAGTCTTGTTTTATACAAATAGGGTGGTTCTCAGGTTAACCGGATTGTTTTGATTGCGACAGGTGCTATTTTGTATTTTTGACATACCACCTATGTATTTCTTATATTCTTAAATACGATTAACTTGGTATTGGTAGGATATTGGTTGGTTACAGTTTGTTCACCATGCCGCATTACTTGTATCATTACCACAAATTCACTTAGTTAATCAAAACGGGTGTTAACGTCTTGCGTTGAACATCCTCCAGGTTAGCATATCACAATACATGCGTCATAGTATATCCCAATAAACCGCAGTGGACTTCAGTAAGATGTTTTAAACATCCCAAGAGGGACGGGAGAGAAAGTAGTCGAACTTTGCGCTCAGTGACCAAAAGAGAGATGACAAAACTAAGTTGCTCATACTACTGATCGGCCGTTTATCACTACAAGGAGGAAAGACACGGTTTAACTGACCCCACAACTCGATGAGTTCCGCACTGAGGATGATTGTGCCCCTGCTCCCAACAAAATTAATTAAATTCATTCGAAAAATAGAGTTTCACATCGAAATGTAAGGTCTTCTGTTATCTACACTTATTTTATTTTGAACTCCAAAACCGAATGCTCAAAAGAGCTAAAACACACCTATGGATAATGGCTCCATCCAATGCTTTTTCGCCCAAGACGGTTAGCACGGTGGGCGGACTGATAGGGACATAACAAAGGTGATTAAGTAATAATGGGAAAATACAATAGCTATAAAATGATATCTAAAGGATTTCTGTGTTTTCCCATCAAGTCATCGTTTTGAACCGTACAATTGGTGAGGAACCAGCACTATTATCTTGTCCGTTTCCACTTCTCTATTGCTTAGGGGAGCGCAGGAAACATACTGGATTCCTTCACCATTATCAGCAACAAGCACGGTGAAAACCTTTTCACTTGTCACGAAGAGCAGCCTCACTCCTTCCAGCCTTGGATCAAACTCCGTCCAGCGGTCCGCGTTCAAGAAAAATGTTGATTGATCTACTTTCATGTTATGCATCAGATTTATCAAATCTTGCAATTCGTTAGCAGATATGAGGCACTAAATAGCTAAACATCCCGTGAAAATTTAGCGAAGTCAGTTTTTGTGTTTCAGCAGTATCCCAAACAATTTTAGTGTTTCCACTTCCTGATTAGTAAATGGCTGTAAATGTCAGTACAAATATGAATAGCCGGAGATTCGGTCCCCTACACTATCAACACAACTTACTTTTTCTATTTGATTAACACAAGTTCCATTTTATTCGCATTTCAGGAAGTCATATCGCATTATACATCCATAAGTGTGCTGTTGGCTTACATTTTCCAACTCAATCAAAAGTCCCAATCTTTGCTAATGAAAATGTTAAAATCATTCTGTTTTCCAATTCCGATAATTGGTTCTCGACCGTAGGAAAAATTTTGGTCGGCACATTTTATATCTTGTCCATTAAGTTCAGCAGTTGGATCGCAAAATTTCAAAACCAATCGAGTTAACAATTTCAGTGCGAGGTTGGGTTGGGGGGTGAGTGAGCTTAATGAGTTCATCAATCAACTCCGCACTGACGACTTCACTGTTGCGTATCAGTGGCACGATCACTGCTTCACAAGATGGAAGAACACGCGTGCAAATCATTAGATGCAACGCGCGCTCAACGCGCAGAATGTCTGTTCTGCGTTGACCTCGAAAAGCGATGGATGTGCTTGCACTTATAAAAAGCGACTAGTCGATAGGCATGGGTCGCGGTCTTCTGGAGAAATATCCATGATGGCGAGGAAAGGTAAGAGGAATCAAAATTCAAATTTTAGTAAGCTCACATCAATGCAACAAGTAAAGTCTTCTGAGAGATACTGGCATACCCAAAATCTTGCTTAGGAGGACGATTAATTGGTCAGTTTGGAAAGTGGTGGTTTGCTGTCGGCGTTGATTGGTTCGCCTTCTTGGAAGAAGAGTCGGATCCCGTGTTGACATGTTATGCGTTTCCCCCGCTTGTGTCGCAACAGCGGCATTTTGAAAGTGTCAAATAAGGCATCAGAAGGCCTGTTGGTAGAGTGCGCTATTGTTCCCTGAAGACGGCATGAACGGATTTGGTTTTGTGTCACGTCCAGGCGCCTTGATCAGCAAGAACTTCATGCACTACGCTTCAATAATTAAAGGACATAGCCCTTGATCCAGGGGTCTTGCATAGGTTTATGGTCACGCGCCAGAACCTGTGACCCATATCAAGTTGAATCCCTTTCGTCGTCACTGTGAACCTGGAGGGAGCTGTCTGTGCCGGAAACAACCGAATCGAAGGCTTATAAATTCTGTCCCATAAGGGTCCCAGCAGGCTATTTCTCGTGTTCTACCGAGTCTTTTGGCGTAGTACTTAGGACAGGCGATAATCTCTGGAGAAGGTCAAAGGAAGTTCCCTCTCCTCGATAGTTGAGTTCAGCCTGACCGTTTGGTTACCAGTGCTACGAAGCTGAATGTGCGTGAAAAGTTGTACGTCGGTGGTAAGAGTTTTGAGAGTGATCAGAAGTGAACTGCAATCAGTTATCCGACACTAGTCCCCCGGCAGGTACTCTGCACTGAGGATCTAGGACGGGGCTCGCGAAGTGATGTTTACCGTTAGTGCGATAAGAAACTCAATTTCCGACCACTTGGAAATGCTTTGATCAAGAGGGGTAAGCCATTCTATCAACATGGCTAGCTTAGGAATCATGCACCCGACACAATGGTCGTTCAGGTCTCAGCCAAGCAGCAGCCGGTAGGCAGGGAGCATCCATCCTGGAATGCCGAATAATATGGTCGCCTGATTGTTTTTGGGGCTACAGAGAGGAGGCGATCTGCACGATAAGCAGAGTTGATCGAGGCATTGGTCAAATCAAATAAATCGAACCATCTAAAGGTCAGAAGATTCGGTATGGAGGAACTCACATAACACGAGCAAGTGAAGACCATTTCCCCGAAGCAAACAGAGAACAGTGGTTTGCCTGACAGCTGTGGCTCACCACTACAGGCACTGATATAAGGGTGTATAGCACTGACGAAGCATGGAGGTAGTCCCATCCCCACGTCTGCTGAAAGGTGAAGGTTGTTAAGAAAATTATAGAAGCGCGTTCCAGCGATCCTCCACTACTGTTTAATAGGCATAGAGCATCTAGAAGAGTTCAAGTAAACAAGTGAGAATGTCCAGTTCTCAAAAATCTCCACGCAGGAACGATGTTTGCTTTTGTGTCCGATTACTTGTAACCGCATGATTAATGTTTGTCAGGAAGTAAATACATACGTAAATAAACAAAGACAAACAAATAAGTAACTTCTCAGAAAAGGCTATTTCACTTTTCATTTGATGCTGTGATGCGGGATGAGAATGAAGCTTTGCATTGGTCAGCATTGTGTAAACTCCCCCGGTTGTGCTCGAGAAAAAGACGAATGGGAATGGAAGATTTTCGCTGACCGTAAATCGGCTTGTAGCTCTCTCCTCGGTCATGGAGATTCGCGGTCCACTTCAAGAACCTCGATATTTCATGGTGTTTTGTTTGCTCTCCAGATAGTATCCACTTGTAGGTAACATGCCAATAAAGCATTCCCCGAACGCGGCGGGGAATAAAAAATAAGAGGAAAATATAACCAACGAGAAACGCCCGTTATGTGAATAGTCACCGTAGTTGTATAAACCCTAAAAACTAGGACGGTGGGGTATGAAGTGGGACCAGTTCAATAATGAATTCTGCTGACTTGAACTAAAACTTAAAAATTCGTCACTGGCCATGAATTACCTTGTGCAGTTGAGCAAATGGGTCTGGAAAGCATGGAAATAAAAATGGAAGTTGTTCACGCCGCTGACTGGAGCCCGTTAGCCGCGCAGTGCGTTTAGCTGAAAAACCTTTACGAGTTGAATAAAACTTTTTACGCAAAAATATTGCATTTTGCTGCGTATGTGCACGAACCAGAAAGCATCCTAATCTACGGTCATATTATTGCTGCTCACCGAATTTCACTGTCCACTGAAGTAATCATACTTAGAAAAACGTCTAGCGGAATACTTTTCTAGCATCCCTGATACTCCGGAATGCCTAGTGTGGCTTCCAAGACTGGATTTGTACTCTGAACTCAATTGCCTGACTCATTTTGTCCAACAAGGACACGTCGTGGCTTTCGAAAGTTCAATTTCATTGTGCGAATACTGATCGCTCCGCTGACCAGAAGAGGGCTCAAATTATTTTCTCCGAAATCATAGGGTTTTCGAGGTTGTGGCTTTTGCGGCGAGATAGTTTAAGCCATTTCTACCTTCCAGTGACATGTTTCAGTAGCATTTTGTTTAAGTGGGCGAGCCGTCAAGGTCACAGACCATTACCGATTCCGGCTGTCACCGGTTTACGCGGAATAAAATAAAATAAAACGCTTCAGCACATTCTGGTGCTCTTCGGTGTTCATTGAGAATAGAAAACCTCCAAAGAAAATCTAATGCAACTTTCACCCTAAAAGATCGGTCATTGACGTTTGCTTGCCTTAACAGATGAGATGATTTTGTTCGGCGAACCTGGTCAAAATATATTCGTGCATGGATCTCAACTCCCAGTACGTGCAGCGCAGTTGGAATACAGCATGAGTTACGCAGTGGCAATGCGAGGGCCTCTCGGTAAATTTTCCAGACATGCATAACTAGCCTGTGGACAACACAGCGTCACGAGATTGCTGCAGGTATCATCCCTATTGTGAATATGACGCTCTGTAGGTGGTGACCGCCATAAGGCTGTCGCCATGATAACGGTAGTCTTTGTTGCTCACTTCGACTGCTTATCGTAACCGCTGGATTTAAAGCTGTATGAGACGCTGATTATTGGGTCTCACATATGCAAGGCAGCCAATCCAACAACAAACGACGCCCCCTTATACTCATAACTATACGCGTTGTCACTCATCTTGAATACCTATTGTAACTGATAGGCCAGCGGCTACGTGCGACGCTGATTATGAGACCCCACCGATGCGCAACATGGCCCATTGGCCGACGACAGTCATTCATACCCGTAACTGTACGCGATACCGCTTATCTTCGCCACCTATAGTAAATACCAGGCCAGTATCCATGCGAACCGGTAGAAATTATACCTCAACTAAGCGTGACAGATTATTCTGACGGCCTGATATACGTATTGCTGTACTCGATGTCGCCTTACCGGGCTGCTTAGCGTACCTGCTAGGTCCGTGTGCATATGCGGTGTTGATTGACTGGTACCTAATCCAACCTTTTCTGTCTCACTCGAAACTGTACCTCTGATCTCATTATTATTACGGGTGGCATTCTCACTCACATCAGTGTTTTCCAGCAAACCTTTCGAACACTTTTTTCAATTTCGAGGCCCCAATACAGACATAGCTGTTCGAATGGTAGCAATGAACCACCGTGAACCCTCGATGGACCCAAGAATATTTTAACTACAATGCCAACCACGGCTTATGGGCCCCAATACAGACATAGCTGTTCGAATGGTAGCAATGAACCACCGTGAACCCTCGATGGACCCAAGAATATTTTAACTACAATGCCAACCCTAAACGGCTTATGCAAGATGTTCATGTATGAGGGTGTCCAAGAACCCAAGTACGGCATCATGATGACGGTACCGCGACTAGCATACGCAATCTGCTGGCTTGTCCGTAGTTCACTATACCTCTAATATTTTTCAGACGAGCGCGTTACCCACAAGACCGTTTTAGCCCGTTTAATTTATGCGGGGACTTGAAAGCCGTAGCCATCATATTAAATCGTCTGCCTGTTCTTCCCAAACACCCAATAGTTTATCCAACGGCACAGCTGGTGGCCCGGTAGATCGGTGAAGATTAAACCTTGATCTACGCTAGATATAACGTATGCTGTCCGTCATAAAAACAAAAACTTTCTAGCTTGATGAATTTTTTGGCTTCAATGGGGCGCTTCCCACAACCAAACAAGGATTGTTTATATTCACATAGTGAATAGCCGCTCCTATTCGAGTTTGCGCGGACGTAATGGACATGATTACTGTCTAAGTCGTTTTGAGAATAATTTCGAAACTAATACGTGAGAAACACGCGAATAAACCAGGTTTTCCACAAAATGTTTCACAATTTCCATGGAGACAACGTGCGAAGCCACCGGTACCCATCGGAATGCGAATTCCGCGCCCACGTTGAACACCGGATTCGTTTAGACAACTTCTTATAAAACGGCAACCGCGTGGGGAGATCTTAAGCGCCCAAATAACAGTTACCGTTAAAGTTTCCATTTTTTGAACAAGGGTTTCAGAGAACTTTTAGGCGTGCCTCTAGGACGAGCAATGTTTCCGGTTCAGCNGTAGTTGGGCGATCGACTTAGCCGTAGGGCACAAGAATGGGGCCATGTATTATGCCATCATTGTCCTAAATAGCACTGGGAAACTATTTTGGAAATCGTTTTGTCCGTGTATAAGTGAGAACTATACCTTCCGAG